CTAGCGCCTGTAATCCTAGCGCCTGTAATCCTAGCGCCTGTAATCCTAGCGCCTGTAATCCTAGCGCCTGTAATCCTAGCGCCTGTAATCCTAGCTATTAGGGAGGCTGAAATCAGGATTGTGAGTCAAAGCCAGCAAAAAAAGTCTGTGTGACTCATTCCAATAACTACTTAGAAAAAGCCACAAGTGGTCCTGTGGCTTAAGTGGTAGAGCACTAGCCTTGAGCACAGAGAGGCTCAGGTACAGTGCCCAGGCCCTGAGTTCAAATACTAGAACCAGCAAAAAAAAAAAAGAACTAGCACCTTACCACTTGAGCCACATCATTTCTGGCTCTTTTGACAATTGGAGAATTTCATGGATTTTCCTGCCCTCATTGGCCTCAAACTGCAGTCCTTAGATCTCAGCCTCCTGAGTAGCTAGGATTATAGGCATGAGTATCTGGTGCCCATCTTGGAACCATTTTTTAAAAGAAGGGACTCTCCCCCTCCCCCGCCCCCTTAGTTGTGGAGCTTGAACTCTGGGCCTAGGCATTGTCCCTGAGCTCTTCAGCTCACGGCTAGTGCTCTACCACTTTCAGCCACAGCACCACTTCCAGTTTTCTGGTAGTTAATTGGAGATGAGTCTCAGACTTTCCTGCCCAGGCTGGCTTTGAACCACGATCCTCATATCTCAGCTTCCTGAGTAGCTAGGATTACAGGTGTAAGCCACCTGAGCAGACTTCTTCCTTCCTTCCTTCCTCCCTTCCTCCCTCCCTCCCTCCTTTCCTCCCTTCCTCCCTTCCTATCTTTCTGTCTTTTTTTCCTGTCTTTCTTTCTTTCTGTCATGGGGCTTGAACTCTTGGCCTGTACACTGTCCCTGAGTTCTTCAGCTCAAGGCTAGTGCTCTACCACACCACAGTGCTGCCACTTCCAGTTTTCTGGTGGTTAATTGGAAATAATAGTCTTATGGACTTTTCCTGCCCAGGATGGCTTTGAACTGTGATCCTCAGATCTCAGCCTCCTGAGTAGCTAGGATTAAAGGCATGAGCCACTGGCACCAACTAGGACTTTTTTTTTGGGGGGGGGGTCCAGTCGTGGGGCCTGAACTCTGGGCCTGGGCGCTGTCCCTCAGCTCTTCAGCTCAAGGCTAGCGCTCTACCACTTGAGCTACAGCGCCACTTATGGCTTTTTTCTTTTTGCTTATGTGGTGCCGAGGAATCGAACCTAGGGCCTCAGGCATGCAAGGCAAGCACTCTACCGCTGAGCCACCTTCCCAACCCCAGGATTGTGATCATTTAGTTAGGCTTCTTGCCATAGCTGAGTGCAAGACATTTGTCACCACAGTCATCTCTGGTAAGATGGAGACTCATGGAATCTTTTCTCCCTGGGGCTAGCCTGAAATCATTATCGTCCTGATCTTAGCCTCTCAGGGAGCTAGCTAGAATGATGGGCATGTACCACCATGGCTAACTATTTAGAAGTGATTGCTCAACTTTTTCTGTGCAGTCTGCTCTAGTATGGTGATTCTCCCTAGTCAGCCTTCAAAATTGCTAGGATAACAAACATGGTCCACAGGTGTCTGGTTCACAATGGCTGTCTCACAAACCTGTTGGCAGTTGTCATTTTCTCACTAAGTTAGCTTCGCCATAAGGCTGCATAAGTGTCCTCATGCTGTGTCATCCAACTTTCTCCAGAGCAAATAGGGACAGTACATGAAGCTGTATGGATTAGGACCAATTCACCTTCATATTCCATCATTCCCACAATATTTTAGATAATAGGATCGTTCATTTTTCATAGTTTTTATTAACTTTGGAGGCTCTTCTTTTTGTAAATGGGATCTCCTTGTGTCCTTTTGCCAGCTGTCATTTTTGGAATAGCCATATATGGTTGTGTGGTGTGTGTGTGTGTGTGTGTGTGTGTGTGTGTGTGTGTATGTAAAATATATATGGTATCTATCTTCCCTTCTGGAATTTCAATTCCATGTGTGTCCAACCTGACAGTTGTACCTGGTTTGGGATTTTTTTTGGTGGTGGTTTTGTTTTTTTGTCGTGGGCCTTGAACTTGGGGCCTGCATGCTGTCCATGAGCTCTTTTGCTCAAGACTAGTGCTTCTAGATCACTTTGAGCCACAGCGCCATTTCCAGTTTTTGAGTGGTTTATTGGCGATAAGTCTCATGGATTTTCCTGCCTGAGCTGGCTTCAAACCACAATCTTCAGACCTCAGCCAACTAAGTAGCTAGGAGTATAGCCTTGAGCCACTAGTGTCCCATGGGTTCAGTTTTTAATTGATACTTTTATCAGATGTCCATCATACCCTTTGTGGGACCCGTTAACTTATCCATGCTGGCTATAACATAACCCACTTCCTTTCCCAGAATCAGATCCACTGTGATTATCTCATGCCACCAAACCACAGCCAACACAACAGTGGCAGAAGTGACCCAGATAGCTGATGGGTCAGATCTTCAACTCTTGATCCTATCAGTAAGCCTGGCAGTAAGGATTTGAAGCCAGCCCTGCAAATGTGTGTGCATCTGCCAACCAACCTGGTAACTACATCCATAGTGACCAGTGAGGTTGCCTAGGATATACCCATAAGGCTTTGCAGGACAGACACCCTGCCTTCCCTCACAGTGTACTGGGTTTCACTCTGATCATCCTGGGCTGATGGTCCTCTGGATCTGAGGCATTGATTAGAGCCATATGGAAGGGGCGGAGCATCATCGGGTGGTAGTGCAGTTTGTGTGCCACCAGATCCTTCATCAGGTTTCCTGCGGGCTGCTGTATAATACCAGAACAGGGCCTTGTAGTCCAGAAAGCTGTTATGTATGTGAATGAATGGGGCTTCTGTGATGAATTAAGGCCTGTCTTGTGTTTATTCCCAGAAACTGTCTTTGTGTCTTGCCTATGGAGTATTGTGCGCGCACATGTGTGCACACTGGTGCTGGGACTTGAACTCAGGTCTGGGCACTCTCTCTGAGCTTTCTTTTGCTTAGGGCTAGCACTCTGTTACTTGAACTACTGCTTTACTTTTGGCCTTTTCTTTTTCTGTCTTCTTTTTAAGTTTATTGGAGATAAAGTCTCATGGACTTTCCTACCAGGGCTTACTTCAAACAGTGATCCTCAGATTTTAGATAGGATTACAGGTGCCAGCCACCAGTGCCTTGGCTTCTTTTGTTTTAAAAAGTGGTGGAGGTAGTCCTGAATGGCTCTGCTGAATGTCTGTCTTGGCTATAGGGGCAACTTTCTAAAAACAACAAAAAACCCAACAACTTTCTAGAAGAACAAAAACGTCACAGAATTAAGTTTAGACATAAAGAGCTTTGTTTTCCTTAAAAGTAGTAGCCCCAACCACAGCCTGGTGATCAAGAAGAGAATAACTTGGGATGCTTTCAGGAACTAATGCCAGCCTCTGTGGTTGGCTCATGACACTACTATACAGGCTCCTCTCAGCAGCTGACTTCTCGAAGACCTACAGGCTTTACCTTCCTCCATCATGAACGTGAATACTTTTGAGAGGCCTCTTTATCCTGACCACATTTCAAGAACCTGCCTTTGAGGGGCTGGGAAGGTGGCTCAGCGGTAGAGCGCTTGCCTTGCATGCCTGAGGCCCTGGGTTCGATTCCTCAGCACCACATAAGCAAAAAGAAAAAAGCCAAAGTGGTGCTGTGGCCCAAGTGGTAGAGTGCTAGCCTTGAGCTGAAGAACTGAGGGACAGCGCCCAGGCCCAGAGTTCAGGCCCCATGACCGGACCCAAAAACAAAAAAAAACCTGCCTTTGAAACAGTAGGGATTTCGGGCTGGGAAGGTGGCTCAGTGGTAGAGTGCTTGCCTTGCATGCATGAGGCCCTGGGTTCGATACCTCAGCACCACATAAACAGAAAAAGCCGGAATTGGCGCTGTGGCTCAAGCGGTAGAGCGCTCGCCTTGAGCTGAGGAGCTGAGGGACAGCGCCTAGGCCCAGAGTTCAGGTTCACGACCGGCAAAAAAAAAAGAAACAGTCGGGATTTCTTGGGCACCAAGATGGGAGTTAAGCATTTATAGAGCTCTGTTAAATGGTGTGGAAGTACTATTACTGTTAAGTTTTTGTTGTATGCTTTGGCATCTTTTTTTTTTAAGGTAAATTGCTGAGATGTTGGGGGCTGGAGAGATTTGTCATTTAAATTCACATTTGCCAGCATACTCACTCCTTTATAGGGATGGGTGATGGTCTCATTTCCTATTCACAGATGTTCATTGAATCATTAAAACTGGATTTAGTTAAAGGGCTTGTAGTCAGAGATGCCATCTCTTAAAAGTATTTTCAAATTCTGCTTGTGGCTTTGGCTAGCTGTGCTCTAAATCCTCCTCTTAACATTAAGAACCACAGCGCCACTTTCGGTTTTCTAGTGATTTATTGGAGATTAGAGTCTCACAGTCTTTCCTGCCCAGGCTGGCTTTGAACTGTGATCCTCAGATCTCAGCCTCCTTAGTAGCCAGGAATACAGGCATGAGCCACTAGCACCTGGCTCCTCTTAACATTACTGACAGCAGCAAGAATCAAGAAGCATACACATTCTGGATCACTCCTAACATTTCCTCTACCCTTGATGCCCGGATCATTGTTATCTGCCTTTTAACACAATAGCAGGCAGTCTCGCTATCATGCCTTGATTTTAAAAACCTCAATTTTGTACTCCTTTTTCTGGATTCCATGTTCTTTGTAGCCTTATTCCACATATTTCATTTTGTTTTTCACCCACAGAACCCCATTTCTTTAAAGGAAGTTCTATTAATAAGAGAACTACACTAAAATCAACAAATAAGAGGTTTGTGATAAGAAATACAAAAGGCAGGCAGTTGCCATGATTGTTCAGCAAAATTATCAGGGTTGCAGAATCAAACCTATGTTTCTGCTCTACCATCCACCATCCAGAATATTCCTTCTTAGATCCATTCCTTTCCTTTCTCTACCTACTACCTTCGCTCTTTCTTGACCAGTACTCCAATTTGGTACCTGATGCTTTTGCTATCATTAGGAGAAGAAAATGGGGTTTCTTAAATGCCCTCATACAAATACAGCTTTCATCTGGTCAACATATAAGGAAGGCTGCTCTTTTTGATGTCAATATTAAAACAGGAAAATGGCAATTGTTGCTAAAGTAGGAAAGTGGATACTGATAGATCACTATTCTTTCATTATTTTTGTTGCAAAATAGTTATTAATGACACAGTTTTTATTTGTAGTTTAACATTAACATTTAAAAAATTCCCTAGTAGACTTACTTGATTCTACCTAGTTTTTCCTTTCTAAAGAATATTAGTGGTTGAGGTCAGAGGTGGTATAAAATACAAGTATTTGGACTTCATGACAATTCAGTTGTGCTCAACAACCCACTGGATTTCTATTCCATGTGATAGGAGATTTGAATGAAAGCATTCTTGCACCCATCACACACAGGCCCTCACCCAAACAGTCTGGGACAAATGCAATTTAAATCTTCCTTGATGATAATTACATTTACGTGCACTCCCCTCATGTACATCTCTTAAAGCCACAATAATGAGCCTTAATATTTGTAATAGGCTATGTTCAAGGCACTTTTCTAAGAGATTTTACACATAAGATCATATCAAAAATTTTACAGAAAAAATTGATAGGTCCCCCTTACAATTAAACCAAAGAAAAGTTACCGATGATGTCACAAAGGAAATCAACTAGCAGAGAAAAGGTAATATAAAAAAAGACATTTACTATGGCTAAAGGCCTTTCTGTATGTAACTACATTAATAATTCTTTTCCTCTGCATCTGATAATTGTTTAGTAGGGCTCCAGTAATGAAAGGTTTCCCATAATGAAAGGTTTTCTTGTATGGATTACATGAACAATTCCATTCTCAATTTTCTGATGCTAAGCTTTATAAAACAAATACAGATCACATTCATATTTGAAATTCTTTACTGATATGTTTTATCACAAAGGACCAAATAATTCATATAAAAACTTGTGAACCATGACTGAAGTCTATTCCACATTCCTTACAGTCAAAAGATTTCTCATGGACATGAATTCTCTTATGTTGAGTTAATTGTGAACCCCGGGTAAAGGCCTTACCACATTCCTTACATTGATATGGTTTCTCACCAGTATGAACTCGCTGATGTCGAGACAGATGTGAGCTCTGCGTAAAGGCCTTGCTACATTCTTTACATTCATATGGCTTCTCACCAGTATGGATTCGTTGATGCAGGGTAAGTTGAGAGCCATGACTAAAGGCCTTCCCACATTCTTTGCATTCATAGGGCTTTTCTCCAGTGTGAATTCGATGATGCTGAGTAAGCTGTGAACCACGAATAAAAGCCTTCCCACATTCCTTACACTGATAGGGTTTCTCACCAGTATGAATTCTCTGATGTTGGATAAGCAGTAAGCCACGAGCAAAGGCCTTGCCACACTCATTACACACATAGGGTTTTTCACCAGTATGAAGTCTCTGATGTTGAGAAAGATGGGAACTCTGAGTAAAGGCCATTCTGCATTCTTTACATTCATAAGGTTTTTCACCAGTATGGATTCGCTGATGTTGAGTAAGTTGTGAGCCACGAATAAAAGACTTCCCACATTCCTTACATTCATAGGGTTTCTCACCAGTGTGAATCCGCTCATGTTGGGTAAGTTCAGAACCACGACTAAAGTTTTTCCCACACTCTTTACATTCATAAGGTTTCTCACCTGTGTGAGTCCTCTGATGGCGAGTAAGAAGTGAGCCCCGGTTAAAGGCCTTTCCACATTCCTTACACTGATAAGGTTTCTCACCAGTATGAATTCTTTGATGTTGAGTAAGCTGTGAGCCATGGCTAAAGGTCTTTCCACATTCCTTACATTCATAGGGCTTTTCATTGGTATGGATTCGCTGATGTTGAGTAAGTTGTGAGCCACGGATAAAGGCCTTCCCACATTCTTCACACTTGTATGGTTTTTCACCGGTATGAATCCGTTGATGTTGCATAAGGAGGGAGCCCCTAATAAATGCTTTTCCACATTCCTTACATTCATATGGCTTTTCCCCATTATGAATTTTCTGATGTTGGGAAAGCTGAGAACCACAAATAAAAGCCTTCCCACACTCCTTGCATTCATAGGGTTTCTCACCGGTATGAATTCTTCTGTGCAAAATAAGTTGTGAAAGCTGCGTGAACACCTTTTGGCATTCCTTACATTCATAGAGCTTCTCACCAGTATGAAGTCTCTGGTGCAGAGTAAGTTGTGAGTTCTGAGTAAAGGCTTTACCGCATTCTTTGCATTCATAAGGCTTCTCACCAGTATGGACTTTCTGATGTCGTGTGAGCTGTGAGCTACGAATAAAAGCTTTTCCACATTCTTCACATTTATATGGTTTTTCACCGGTATGAATTCTGTGATGTAAAATAAGTTGTGAGCTTTGAGTAAAGGCCTTTCCACACTCCTTGCATGCATAGGGTTTTTCACCAGTGTGAAGCCTCTGATGAAGACTGAGCTGAGAATCGCGACTGAAGGCTTTCCCACACTGCTTGCACTCATAGGGTTTCTCACCAGTGTGAATACTCTGATGTTGTGTTAGGTGAGAGGCTCGTCTGAAGGCTTTCCCACATTCCACACATTTATAGGGCTTCTCCGTAGAAGGACATCTTGGATGTTGAGATAAGTATGCATGCTGGTTGCAAATGGACATTTTATCATATGTGATCATCTCTTGTCTGGGATATTCCTTGTGGTTTCCTTGAGTCTTCTCCACCTTGCCTTTCACTTTTAAATGATCTCTAGAATGGGTCTCCTCAATGTCACAGGTTTCAAGTCTGCCACTCATTTCCCACTGACATACTTTTATTTCAGCAGTTTGCTTCTTTGAAGATAAGTCCGTAATTACACACCTTAAAGACAGGTCTGAAAGACAAGACAATAGGAAACCATGCAAGTGAAATAGAACTGCTACAACAAAAAAGGCAAATAACTAGGAAAATAACACACATAAAAATTACAAGGCTGGGTGTCAGTGGCTCACGTATGTAATCCTCAAGAGATTGAGATCTGAGGATCACGGTTCAAAGCCAGCCCATGCAGAAACAGTCCATGAGACTCTTACCGCCAATAAACCACCAGAAAACCAGATGTGGTGCTGTGGCTCAAGTGGTAGAACACTAGCCTTGAGCTGAAGAGCTGAGGAACAGGGCCCAGAGTTCAAGCCTCACGAACGAAAAAAAAAAAAAATAAAAACCCACAAAATTGAATTTGATGGTGAAATATTGCAACCTAAAATCTTTTAAAAAGAAGCTGGGAAATTGACTCAGTGGTGATCTAGTGGTGCTTTGCATTATTATTTTTTTTTTTTTTGGTCGGTCGTGAGGTTTGAACTCTGGACTTGGGCTCTGTCCCTGTGCTCTTCAGCTCAAGGTGAGCACTCTACCGCTTGAGCCACAGAGCCACTTCTGGTTTTCTGAGTGGTTTATTGGAGGTAGGAGTCTCACGGAGTTTCCTGCCCGGGGTGGCTTTGAACCGAGATCCTCAGATCTCAGCCTCCTGAGTAGCTAGGATTACAGGCGTGAGCTACCGGTGCCCAGCTATTTATTTATTTTTTAAGAAACCTGGGAATAGGCTGGGAAGGTGGCTCAGTGGTAGAGCGGTTGCCTTGCAAGCCTGAGGCCCTGGGTTCGATTCCCAGCACCACATAAGCAAAAAGAAAAAAGCCGGAAGTGGCGCTGTGGCTCAAGTGGTAGAGCGCTAGCCTTGAGCTGAAGAGCTGAGGGACAGCGCCCAGGCCCAGAGTTCAGGCCCCACGACCGGACCCAAAAAAAAAAAAAAAAGAAACCTGAGAATAATAGCAGAGAAAACCATTCAAAAATTAAATCCTGGCTGGGAATGTGGCTTTGTTGGTAGAGTGCTTGCCTAACATGCATGAAGCCCTGAGTTCGATTCCTCAGTAGCACATACACAGAAAAAGCCAGAAGTGGCACTGTAGCTCAAGTAGTAGTGCTAGCCTTGAGTGAAAGGAGCTCAGGGACAGTGCCCAGGTCCTGAGTTCAAGCCCCAGGACTAGCAAAAAAAAAAATTAGATCCTGAGAACAAGGGAAAGATACTCTTACCTAGTGATACCAAGTTACCATAGTTCTCCAACATCACATCTCTATGCAGATCCCTTTGGGCAGAGTCCAGACATTCCCACTCTTCCTGAGAGAAGTCAGTGGCTATATCCTGGAGTATCATGGACCTCTGAAACAATAAATTTAATATAACCTGTAGAAATCAAGGACAGGGGCTGGGAAGGTGGTTCAGTGGTAGAGTGCTTGCCTTGCATGCTTGAGGCCCTAGGTTCGATTCTTCAGCACCACACAAGCAGAAAAAGCTGGAAGTGGTGCTGGGGCTCAAGTGGTAGAGCACTAGCCTTGAGCTGAAGAGCTGAGGGACAGTGCCCAGGCCCAGAGTTCAGGTCCCACAACCAGCAACAGCAAGAAAAGAAAAGAAAAATAAAGGACAGAGGTTTTCAATGGAGGGGGAGGTGAAAGGGAGCAATGGAAGCAGGAAAGCAAACAGACTAAAGTTTCTAACATGGGAGGATCCCAGTTTGAAGCCAGCCCAAGCACACAGGTAAGGTGTGAGGCCCTAAGTTCAAGCCACAGTCTTGACGCGCACAATGTATACACACATACACAATGCCAGGCACTGTTGGCTCATACGTGTAATCCTAGCTACTCAGGAGGCTTACACTAAAGGATCACAGTTTATAGCCATCCTGGGCAGGAAAGTCTATAAGATTCTTTTTATTTATTTTTTTGCCAATCCTGGGGCTTGAACCCAGGGCCTGGGCACTGCCCCTGAACGTCTTTTGCTCAAGGCTAGCACTCTACCACTTGAGCCACAGCACAACTTCCAGCTATTTTTTTGTTTATGTGGTACTGAGGAATTGAACCCAAGGCTTCATTCATGCTAGGCAAGTACTCTGCCAGTGAACCACATTCTCATCCCTCAGAGACTCTTATCTCCAATTAGCCACAAGAAAACCAGAAAAGCAGGGTGCTGGTGGCTCATGCCTGTAGTCTTAGCTACTCAGGAGGCTGATATCTGAGGATTGCGGTTCAAAGCCGGCCCAGGAAGGAAAGTCTGTGAGACTCATGTCCAATAAACCACCAGAAAACCAGAAGTGGTGCTGTGGCTCAACTGATAGAGCACTAGCCTTGAGCTGAAGAGCCAAGGGACAGCACCCAGGCCCAGAGTTCAAGCCCCACAACCGACCAAAAAAAAAAAGCAAAAAATCTAAGGAACAGTTAGCTCCCAGGCCCTGTGGGTGTGCATGCATGCACATGCACACACACACAGAGTGCTTTTTTTTTTGTCAGTTGTGGGGCTTGAACTCTGGGCCTGAGCGCTGTCCCTCAGCTCTCCAGCTCAAGGCAAGTGCTCTACCAATTGAGCTACAGTGCCACTTCTGGTTTTCTGGTAGTTTATTGGAGATAATAGTCTTACAGACTTTCGTGCCTGGGCTGGCTTTGAATGGCGATCCTCAGATCTCAGCTTCTTGCATAGCTAGGATTACAGGCATGAGTCACCAGCACCCCGCCAGAGTGCAAATTTTCTTGGCTCAGATAGTACCAAATATTGGCTTTGTTCCTACATCATCTAAGGTACGAAATTTCAAAAAGAAAGCAAAATATACACATATATAAAAAGTTATGATGAAACTCATTAAAATGTACCATGCAGGGGAGGAACCAAGAAAAAAAAAGATGCCTGTTTTTTCTTCCCCAATCCTAGGGCTTGAACTCAGGGCTTGGGCACTGTCCCTGAACTTCTTTTGTTCAAAGCTAGTACTCTACCACTTGAGCCATAGCATCACTTCTGGCCTTTTCTGTTTATATGGTACTGAGGAATTGAACCAAGGGCTTCATACATGCTAAGCAAACACTCTATCACTAAGCCACATTCCTAGCCCAAAGATGCCTATTTTTAAAAGATTCAAAGTCAGTTCAGGAAAGAAAGATGAAAACATCTATTTACCTTGAACTGAACTTTTCTTTCTTCCTCTGTGCTCTACTCTCAGAAAAAGAAAATAGGATGGAATGAGATGCTATGTATTTGGAGGTTTTTATGTTTTGTTTTTGGTCGTGGGGCTTGAACTCTGGGCTTGGGCGCTATCCCTGTACTCTTGAGCTCAAGGCGAGCGCTCTACCACTTGAGCCACAGCGCCACTTCTGGTTTTCTAGTGGTTTATTGGAGATAAGAGTCTCACAGATGTTTCTGCCTGGGCTGTCTTTAAACCGTGATCCTCAGATCTCAGCTTCCTGAGTAGCTAGGATTACGGGGGTGAGCCACTGGCACCCGGCTCCCTGAGCTCTTCAGTGCAAGGCAAGCACTCTACCACTTGAGCCACAGCGCCACTTCCAGTATTCTGGTGGTTAATTAGAGATAAGTCTCAAGGACTTTCCTGTCCAGGCTAGCTTTGAACTGCAATCCTCAGATCTCAGCTTCCTGAGTAGCTAGGATTGGATTACATGCGTGAGCCACTAATGCCTAGGTATGAAACATTCTTTAAATTAGGACACAATGGGGTTGGGAAGGTGGCTCAGTGGTAGAATGCTTACCTTGCATGCATGAGGCCCTGGGTTCGATTCCTTAGCATCACATAAGCAAAAAGAAAAAAGCCGGAAGTGGTGCTGTGGCTCAAGTGGTAGAGCGCTAGCCTCAAGCTGAAGAGCTGAGGGACAGTGTCCAGGCCCAGAGTTCAGGCCCCACAACCGGACCAAAAAATAAATAAATAAATTAGGACACAACCTCTTCCTCTATCCACATGATGTAATCTTCATTTAATACAAGAAAAGTCAAAAGGAGCTGGACACCAGTGGCTCCTGCTTGTAATCCTACTCAGGAGGATGATATCTGAGGATCATGTTCTCACCCAGCCAGGGCAGAAAGGTCCATGAGACTCATCTCCAATTAACTACCAAATAGCCAGAAATGGAAGTGTGTGTCAAGTGAGTAGAGTGCCAGCTTTAAGCAAAAAGAAACTCAAGGGCAGCACCTAGACCCTGAGTTCAAGGCCAAGGACCAGCATGCGCGCACACACACACACACACACAATCAGAAGGTGACTAGAACAATTACAACTTTTCTATTGGAAAGCTGTCTTGGGCTTGAGGTTATTTCTACACTCAAAGCTGCCTACTGGAAACAAAGCCCTGCACTTCTATGCTACAGGTTCTAAAGTATGTGGCTAGCTCATTTAACACTCTCTCAAGTATTCTACTTCTGTAATCCCATCACATTTCTAGGTGGCCTGTTCTGAATGTGCTCCTAAAATTCTGATCCCAAACTGGAGTTTGTGGTTCAAGAGTATGTGGGGGGGGGGGCAGGGAGGGGAGTGGAGGGATTCACAAGACCCTTTCTCAACCAATAGGTGCATATCACCTGTTATCACTGGTGTGGACCCCTAATATGGGAAGATTTCAGACCAAGTTTATTCCAGACAAAAGTCAAGACACTATTTCAAAATAACCAGTGCAGGGCTGGGAAGGTGGCTCAATGGTAAAGTGCTTGCCTCACATGCATGAGACCCTGGGTTTGATTCCTCAGCACCATATAAACAAAATGCTGGAAGTGGCATTGTGGCTCAAGTGGTAGAGCACTGGCCTTGAACTGA